ACAGTAGGTATGCATGTTTGCCCTGTAAGAAAACCTGGTTGAGTATAAGTCATCTACAGTATACTTAAGCTTCTTGTGTGAGATCCGAAAAGTGGCATACGTCGACATGAAGCCCGGTGCAATCTGGGGAATCAGTGTAAAGGTAGATCTGCTTTCGGAGAGGAATTGTTCCTTGTACAATTGCAAAAGTGTTCAAAGGTTGCTTCTGTAGCGGAGTGATGATTTCAACAAACACACGCCCATCTCAGCATGAAGAGAACAGCTACCGCTTTAGCGATTAGAAGTTGGAAGAAAAATTGATAAGCAATGAACTACCGGTGCAAGGAAATAAGCCACAGTAACCTCGAAGAAAAATAATAGTGTCAAATAGGAACAGAACTATGTCATGTTACGCAAAATTGTATTATTTAAAAACGTCATTGGAACTTTGGAGGATGAGGTTTAGAAGGGACTATAGAATTTGGTGCAGTTCCTTCTTGAATCCACGGAAGGCATATGTCCTACAAGCCAAAGTTGATAAGTCAGACATTTATAAGACGCGGTATGTGATCATGCCATCTACATTGTTATTCAGGTTCATCAAATAGCAGCCCTCATGAGAGCGTTTGTTAGAGTTCGTCATGTGGTGGATGAGTGCTACTCGCAAAAATATCCTCCGTGAGAAATCGCTGAGTCGCTGAATCAGTGACATGCATAAGTACACTTCATTATGCACTTGTTAGGAACCGCTCTCTTTTCAAATATATGGTTAGCATATTTAAATCAGATGTCGACAAGCGGACAAATGTGACTCTTGATTCACAGATGTAAAGTGACAGGCAAAGCAGCAAAGCAAATCTTTTCTTACAGTATCATGATGGGACAATTTTTGGAGTCGTTATTTTCACGATGGATTGATGGATGGACGCTGTTATCCATTTTAATGCGATCAGCCGGCAAACCGGAACAAACAGTTTTTAAAGTTAGAGACGACTACAACTATGCGAGTGTATAGTCTGCTGTTTCCTTCGTACAGAGTAGTACTCATTTATCAACCTCGTCGGAAGAAACGAGAGCAAGTGACCCACCCAGACAGGTACATGAACCCTTGACTTCTCATCTTTGAGTTCGACGCTCTGTCG